GGCCCCTTGAGTGTGGCTCTTCCACAAAATACCGACTTCTGCGCATGGGCCACCAAGTTTCAATCGCACTGTACGTGTGTGCCCGCACGTGGTATTTTGTGGAAGAGCCACACTCAAGGGGCCAAAGAGCCCCATGTGGCTCGCGAGCCACGGTTTGCCGACCACGGGCCTAGGGCAGGGCCTGGAGGGGGGCGCAAGTGGGGAGTCCAGGGGCCGAGGCCCAGGTCAGTGTGGTTGGGAGGCCAGGCGCCCAGAAGAGCCGCAGGCAGGCGGGGTGTGGGCCTGGCCAGCTCCGGCCGCTGCCCTGTGTCTGCGTGTCCGCGTGGGAGGGTGTGTCCCCTTGGAGCCTCCCTCTGGGCCTGGGAGTGCCGACTGGCTTCTCCGCCTGTGTCTTCTCGGCCTCTCTCGCTGTCCGGGTCCCCGTCCCTCTCGCTGGGTCTCCATCTGCCTGGGTCGCTGTGGGTCTGTCTTTCTAGCTGCAGCTCTCAGCGCTCCGTCTGCCTCGGTCTCTCTTCCTCCATGACCTCCCTCTCCCTGTCCCTCCCGAGCTCTGCCCCACTCCCGCCTCCTCCCATCTGCCCCGCAAACACGGCCTTGACTGTGGCAGGCAGCTGCGCGGAGCCACCAGGTGTGGCCCAGCGTCAGACTGAGTGGACAGACGGGAAATCTGAGTCTGGGATGGACACCAGGGAGGAAGCGCTGGAGGCTGGGGTGGGCCAAGCATTGGGGAGACTGAGGTAGGGGGTCGCTGACCCCCCTTTCCCCACGGCAGGAAAAGGCGGATCTTGGGGAGCTCAACTTCTCACTCTGCTACCTCCCCACGGCCGGGCGCCTCACCGTGACCATCATCAAAGCCTCTAACCTCAAAGCCATGGACCTCACCGGCTTCTCGGGTGGGTTCTGGGGGCCTGGTCAGAGGGAGGAGGGGCTGGGGCCTGGGTCTGAGGGAGGAGGGGCTGGGGGCCTGGACCCCTGAGTCTGAGGGAGGAGGGGCTGGGGGCCTGGACCCCTGGGTCTGAGGGAGGAGGGGCTGATGGAGGAGGACCTGGGGACCCAGACCCTTGGGAGGGAGGGGTCTCAGAGGAAGTGGGGGTTCAGCGCTCTCCACGCTCACCCCCAGACCCCTACGTGAAGGCCTCTCTGATCAGCGAGGGGCGGCGCCTCAAGAAGCGGAAAACCTCCATCAAGAAGAACACGCTGAACCCCACCTACAACGAGGCGCTGGTGTTCGACGTGGCCCCCGAGAGCGTGGAGAACGTGGGGCTCAGCATCGCAGTGGTGGACTATGATTGGTGCGCGCGCGGGGTGCGGGGGGCGTGGCCG